TTTGAACTCGCAAAAAATATGTGAACATAGATTTCTTCGTCTCTTTAGAAAAACTAAAATGAATATTTATATTGCGTTTTTTTTAATATAATTAATTCACAATTTTACTTTTCATTATGATTACTCTACTCAGGTTCTATCAGTCTGAATTTCACCAGCTTCCTATGTCATATCCTCTTGGAAGTATATTCCAGGAAAGCTGAGCCTGCCCACTATGCTAAGAAAATGCATATGGGTGGCTTGCACTATAGCCTAAAGTATTCGTCCTACTCCGCTAAGAAATGTGTGTATGAGTTTTCACACTTGTATAAAAAATATAAAATATATATGCTTTTCTTACCACGTTAAGAAAAATACGTATGGGTACTTATTTGACAGTCAGATGTCATCATCGTCTTCGCCAAATTAAGAAAAGCTTGTACGAGAGTTTCACTTGCATGAAAAACACTAAAAAATAAAATATTCACCCGCAACCCTAATATAAGTGTGTATGAGCAGTCAATTAGAATGGTTCGAGAAGCTCACATTCTCATTATACCCTCACACAGAAGACACCAAAATGCGAGGGGATAACGAGTTTTTGGCACAATCAAGATACAAATCACCTTACTCACCTCCTCTCTCTCTCTCTGTGTGGAAAGCAAAATAGCTGGAGCTGGAAAGTTGGCCAGAGGGAAGCTGTGTGGAGGCGCTAGTAGCGGTATTAATTAGGGAGTTAGGAAGCTGTTAAGTTAGGCGCTAATAGTAGTGTGAGTTAGGCGCTAATAGGGTTGGTTGGGGTACTGCGGTTCAATTAAAGAGAATGGAGGGGTTTTGGAAGCTGTTGAATTAGAGAGTTAGGAACAAAGGAGTGGAGGAAGCAGGCATACTGGGCCCGATTGCTGTAAGGATAGGAAGAGGCAGTGAGGTGGTGGTTTCAGGTGGCAAAGGTAATCAGGTCAGTGTAGCAGGTAGCTTACAACGACACGAAGTAGACTAAATGGAGTGGCTATTGGGAATGGAAGTGTGCAAGCTGTGTGCCTGAGCGAGAGGCTACAACTATGAGGTTGCTGCAGCGAGGAGTGTGATTGCGGCTTAATGTGTGTGAGAACAAAACAAGAAAAAAAGGAAAAAAAAAAGACTCGAGCATAAGCATTACGAAAGGGTGACCGGGATCTACTATAAATGGGGAAAGGACCCAGCAAGTGTGACGGGTGGTGTAGAAGGATTGTTAGCTCGTGGTTCTCTCTGAATAGGTTGAACTTATGAGGGAGAGGAGAGATGGATTTGAAGTTTAGAATTTTAGGTGGCTGTTGTAATATGAGAAAGGGTTATGCAATCATGGCAAATGAATAGAGTAAAGTATTGCAGTTGGAAGTTCACGCTAGGAGAGAAGGTAGTTTTGGCTTGGTTTGGGCAGGAGGAAGAAAGGCAAGTTGGTACCGGATGCAACAGTGAGTTACTTGATGTTGAGATGGGGATTCCTTGGCTAAGAGCATAGATGGGATAGCTCGGGATGGAAGAATAGGATGAGGTGCATTGACGGTTTCACATGTTTGAAGGGAGGAAGAAGAAGACGAGATGGGAGAGCGCAACGTAATTTATAAGAAAGGTCCTTTGCCAATTCATAATCTCGTTCCTGCTTCCATTGAACCTATATTACTCCCACTAGGGTAATATAGTTTCTTTAGCTTCTGTTCATCATTTTCATTTAATTATTTATTATTATTATTATTTTTGTTTATACACTGTGCCATTGTTGGGTCCCAAACCCCGGATGTGAAAAAGTGGAGGGTTGTGTTAGGTAGTCGACAACGCGTGCAAAATTTGTCTAAAATTCACGTAAATCCTTATGATCATTGTGTTGATACGCCATATTATAAAATTTCCAGTTAAATAAATTTTGTTTTTGGCTACTTGAATTATTCCATTCATTTTTTATGAACCCTTTTGTTTGGGGATTAACCATGCATTCCATGAAATTTAAATAATTAAATAGTTTCTAGTGTAGTCTTCCAGTAGGTCATGCTTTGTATCACAATCATTTTAAGTCCAATAACCATTTGGATCATTCTTTTGTCACATCCCATTTGGCCTCAGTAAAATGTGAGATGTAACAGAAAAACAATTCTGTCAGACTTAGTTTTAGTCAACAACCATCCTAACTTTTACAAATCATGTCCGAGCTAGTGGAACTTACTCTCTACATCGTCATAAAATATGCACTATTCTTCAAACTTATAGATCCATTATAATGGTTAATGCGAAGTGTGCTAATTAAATCATTGAAGTGGACAACCGAGCAACTAATTAATTTCATATAATCTATATGATTCTTTTGGAGTAAATCCAAAATTATTTATATAATCTATATGATTCTTTTGGAGTAAATCCAAAATTATTTGCGCTAAACTAAGGCACATGATAAAATGGAGTCACTAACTACGGCTTAACCTGCTTAATTCCTTTGCCTGAAATAATATTTATAATATTTGACTAGCTAACCACTTGGTGGGATAAATACTTCTAATACATGAATCAGAACATATGAACAAAATTAATACAATATAAGTTGATCTTTTAAACTTACATGAACATTATTAATCATAAATATAACCAGCTTAGTGTAATAATTATAAATCAGCATATGTTTTAATTGTGAAATAAGTAAATGATATAATCATATGCAACCAGCATAACTATTTGCAGGAGAACAAGATACATTCTTCAAGCATCAAAGCATTGTTGTTATGAAATTGCTTGTTTTACTTTCATTTTGTTTTCATTCTCATTATTCAAGTCTTAGAAGTGTTATATGATGTATGTATGTGCTTTGATATGTTTATATCATTCGATCCTTATCCTAGTCATAATAACAATTATTAGGTTATATAAGTGTGTATGAGCAGTCAATTAGAATGGTTCGAGAAGCTCACATTCTCATTATACCCTCACACAGAAGACACCAAAATGCGAGGGGATAACGAGTTTTTGGCACAATCAAGATACAAATCACCTTACTCACCTCCTCTCTCTCTCTCTGTGTGGAAAGCAAAATAGCTGGAGCTGGAAAGTTGGCCAGAGGGAAGCTGTGTGGAGGCGCTACAACTTATTGAATAATCTGCTGATAAGCTGATTAAAAATAATCTGCCGATAGGCTAGGTGCAGTGGGTTTTACAAATTTTTATTTTTTTGGAAAAATCAGAATGTTGTCAGAAAGTTGTCACTGCATCTAGATAAGTGCGATGTGAAAACGTTGTTTTCGGCGTTTTGAAAATGCATAAGCTGCCAAAACACAGTTTACCCAAACAGGCCAAGTGCGTTTTCAAAACACCACCGCACCAAATGAGCTGTCCCAAATGGACCCTTAGTCCAACATGATAATTACCAATGGTCCCTCAATTGAATGTTGAATCATATCATACCTTTTTTAAGTTGGTAACAAGTTTTTGGCTTTTATTAAGGCTTACATCGTTAGAAAATTTTTCTCTTCTTGCACTATTCATCACCATTTGTCAAACTATCCCACATTTATGATCTTTCAGAGGCTTCCTTTATTTTTAACGTCATTTTAATAAGCATTTAAAATTTCTTGAGATTGATGTTCAACAAGTATCAATTAATATGTAAAGAGGCATTCATTTGCAATATTTGAAATAATATATGAATATTTGAATTTGCATGCTGTATCATAAAACTTACACAATATAAAATAATGGAGTAAGTGCTAAAATTGTCTCCTGACTATTTACATGTGGTCACTTTAGTCCCATTTTGGTCCCAAAATCTATGAAAGTGCCAAATTAGTCCTTAGACTCTTTTAGTATGCGCTGCAATTGCCCCCAAAGAGGACAATTTTGGCCCTTATTAAAATAGTGTTGGATTAAATTGACACTTTTATCTACTCTGGGACTAAAATGAATCTCGACAATAAGTGAAAGGACCATTTGGTAGGAGAATAGGAGCAATGCATTAGAATCTTTGTAATATGACCGATCATTGAAATGCTTAGTATAAGAAAATTTCTATTTATATGCACATATTGGATTAATGTAATAATAGAAATTTCAATCATTAGGTCTATGAATCATTTGTTCTCCATATTAGTGGTTGAGTATATGATCACAAATCTTGGGTTAACCTCATAGTAGATTTCCTCACGCCCACCACCTTGGAACCATGATCTTTTTATACAATATGTTAGCATTATTAAAATTAATTTCCGACTTAATGAATTTCTCTATCAAAGAATCTTATAAAAAAAATCTCAGTAAGATTTTCACTTGCTCAAGTCTGACTTTTGATTACAATTGAGCCTAAGCCTTCTACTTATTTTCTTCTTCTTCTCTTCTTCAGCCCTTTTCGACTCTTTTCCCCCTCAATTTCTTGTGGGACAGAAGGTTTTACAAGAAAATGAACGGAATAAGGTAGTGCTCAAGGCTATTGTAAGAATTTATATATTGTATTTAAATAAAAAATTAATTTATGTAAACCTTAATTCCCTTTACCTATCTCAATTGTCTTAAAAAAACAACCGTTGCATGTTAGTATAAATGGAAAAAAGGGAATGCTGCTGGACAATAACACTTGCTAAGGAAATTAAATAAGTAGATAATGCATAAATTTTAAGAGAAAATCTGATTATACCCTTTAATATTCTTGAGCATTTCATCTTTTCCCTCTTTTTTCTGAATTGAGCTATCTTTTAATCAATTGATGATTGTGATAGTTTAGCTTATTTCTTTTACTTCTTTATCTCTACATTTTCAAATGAATTTTCAGAAATCTTCAAGAAATGTTATACTGCCAATTATTTCAGTATTTGAATTTTATATGAAGCTACTTGAACTTTGCTTGGCTGTCTTCATCAATTAATTTTGTCATCTTCGAAAGGTTTTAATATTTCTTTTCACACTGTCATTCTCATTTTGTGGCACTAATATTTATTCAATAGGCCGAGTTGAATTGTCATCAAACATGGTGGAGATTTTGACTTGATGAATCAAAGTTTCTTTCTACAGGTTCCAACTCAAGTTTGTTCACCTTCGGTGGTTCTTTCTCCGCTAGTGTTGGAGAAATCAAAAGAATGTACAATCAAGAACTGGAACCAAGGTTCTGGTTCGTTTCCAGGACAGTGGCGTCACCCATCGAACATATGGAATTCATCCACTATCCAATCTGACTTGCACCAACGGCTGTCATATGAGTTTGATAGGCCATCTAATTCTGAGAAATTGTTAGCTGGAGCAAGCTCTTCTATTTCTTTACAGGAGAAGAAGCCCGAAGGCCTTCCTGGAAGAATTGGATTAAGTGGCCTAAACCATGTTCCCCGGAATAGATATGGTAAAGAAAATGCTAGCCTTACATGCAGTTTCAATGCTCGGTTACTGATGGACTGTACCATTGTTTAAAATGTAGGAAACAATTGTCCAACTTCTACAAGAAAAGGGATGATGTCAGATGCTTCTGCTAGTTCCTCTAAAGTTAACTTTGAGACTTGTCAAAGTTCATCCGGAAAATCATCATCCTCCATCATACCAGTGGGAGAATCAACATCTTTACTAATTAGCCTAACTACTCCTCTCTCTTCTTTGAATGACATAAGTGATCCAATCAGGGCCACAACGAATCATCCACAGCATAAAGCAATTCCTTCTCCATTCTCTAAACAAAATTATCCCAACCCTATAAACAGTTCTCACTCTGGAGAATCACAAGCTCAGACTTGCAATGGAAGAGGCCGGTTGGATCCAAGGGCACACTCTCATTTACTTCCTCGATATTGGCCTCGAATCACAGATCAAGAACTACAACAAATATCTGGAGAGTATCCACGACATTTTTTGCCACCATTAAATCTCTTATGCATGATGGTGTTAGTTTCTTTTAATTTAGCTCAATATTTCTTAACCTGTGTAAGTTCAAATTCGGTTGTCACGCCTCTTTTTGAAAAGATGCTTAGTGCAAGTGATGCAGGTCGTATTGGACGGTTAGTGCTGCCAAAAAAATGTGCTGAGGTTAGTTCTAAAGTAGTGTTAGACTTTTTTATCATCATTTTTGAAAACCTTATCAACTGAAATCTGACGGTTACATTGTTGTTGTTGTTTGTTTTTTGTGATTTTGTCGTATAATGCATGGGCTCTTAATTACATTTGGTTGGTGTAGATTTTATTGGGAGAGAAAAATAATTATTCCTTTTCAATTACATAGAAATTGGTTACAAAATAATTATATTGGGATGAACATCACATTAGAAAATTAATAAAATCAGCCAGAACATCTTCTGAGAAAAGAAGGAAACATGAATTATAGCATACCAAAAATTTTAACTTCTAGAAATAGAAAATACCAATGATTGAATATACTAAAAATAAAATCTTCTTAAAAAATCAACACCCCCTCAAGTTGGAGCATACATATCTATCATGTCCAACTTGTCTACAAGGAGCTCAAAATTAGGTCTAAATAATCCTTTGATGAATGTATCCGCTATTTGTTAAACAGTAGAAGTAAATGATATGCAAATAGCTTCACAATCATTATTCTCTTTTATCGAGTGTCTGTCAATCTCTACATGCTTTGTGTGGTCATGCTACATTAGATTTTTCGCAATGCTTATGGTTGTTTTGTTGTCACAGTATAACTTCACTATCATGCTTACCAGTATCTACAACACTTCAAGAAAGCTTTTCAACCATAACATCTCACATGCTCCATTAGCCATAGTCTTATATTTTGCCTCAACACTATTCTTTGAAACATCTGTTACTTATATCTCCATGTAACCAAATTTCCTCACACATAGGTGCAGTATCCATAAGTTGATCTCGTATCATAACTAAGTCTACCCAATCTGCATTAGTGCACACCTCTATGATCTTTTGTGTGGAATTCTTAAAGAGTAAGCCTTGACTTGGTATACCTTTTAGATATATATGAGAATTCAATTAACTTTTTCAAGGTGTAACATAGGGAGAATGCATAAATTGACTTACCAAATTTACAACAAAGACAATATCTGGCTTTGTATGTGATAAGTATATCTAACTTTTTTTTATTAATTTTTGATATCTAATTATATTCACTGAATCACCTTCCTTCCCATCTCCTAGTTTCTAATTGGGTTCAATTGGAGTGTTTGCAAGTCTACACCCACTCATCCCAATTTCCTTGAGAAGATTAATAGCATTACTTCCGTTGGGAGAACAATTTCTTTCTTTGATCAGCAAACTTCATGCTAAGGAAATATCTTAGAGATCTTAAGTCAATGGTTTCAAAACAGAAGATAGGAAAGTCTTCATGATACATGAGCTAACCCAAACAACAATAGGAAAATAAAATATTATAGTTCAATTCAAAATAAGAAATTGCAATCTCACAAATGGAAATAGAAATAACAACAGACACGACTCATAAAGTCAACTTGGGGTATGTTCCCAGGATGGTGGTGGTCGACTAGCTGGATTGGGAGGGTGATTGTTGGTTGGAATGTTTAGAGAAATGGTTGTAGCAAGTAGGGGCTTCAAAAGGGCTGTTTTGGGGACTATAGTGAGTGTAGGACGGCTGGGAGAGCTCGGAGGACAGCAGGTTGGCTATTTCGAGTGATGGCTGTGACAGGGGATTGCAGCAAGGGGTAGCAAGATGGAGTCTGGAACACTGATGACAGTAGGTATGGAGGGCTGGAACAACATCAACAACAAAAGTGGAGGGCTGGAACGACGATGACAACGAGGATGGACAACTAGAACTGGGATGGGGGATGCGGTGGATTGCTGGATAGCAAAAGGAGGGCTACCCTGTGTGGCGACAATGAGAAAAATAGTTTGAGGACAAGGAAACTGCAACAAAGTTGTTTTGGGGACTACAATGAGTTTAGGGCGGTTGGGAGAGCTCAGAGGACAGAAGGTTAGCTGTTTCGAGTGACGGCGGTGAGGGGAAAGGAGATTTCAGCAAGGGGGACTACTATTGTTTGACGACAAGAAGGGGCTTCAGTTGGGTTGTTTTGGGGACAGGGAGTATAGGGCGGCTGGGAGAGCTCGGAGGACAACAGGTTGGTTGTATCCAGTGATAGCTGTGAGGGGAAAGGGGATTGTAGCAAGGGCAGCAAGATAGAGGGCTGGAACACCGATGATAGCGGTTATGGAGGGCTGGAACAGCAGCAGCAGTAAAAGGGGAGGGCTGAAACGATGATGGCAGTGAGGATGGACAACTGGAACTGCGATGGGGATGCTGTGGATTGTTGGACAACAAAAGGAGGGCTACGTTGAGCGGCGGCAATGAGGAAAATAGTTTTGAGGACAAGGAAACTGCAGCAGGGTTATTTTGGGGACTACAGTGAGTGTAGGGCGTTTGGTAGAGCTCGGAGGACAACAAGTTGACTGTTTCGAGTGACGGTAGTGAGGGGAAAGGGGATTGTGGCAAGGGGGGCCGTTATTGTTTGACGACAAGTAGGGGCTTCAGGAGGGCTGTTTTGGGGACTTCAGTGAGTGTAGGGCTGGGAGAGCTCGGACGACAACATGTTGGCTGTTTCGAGTGACGGTTGTGAGGGGAAAGGGGATTGCAACAAGGGGAAGCAAGATGGAGGTCTGGAACATCGATGGCAGCGGGTATGGAGGGCTGGAACAACAACAACAACAAAAGGGGAGGGCTTGAACGACGATGGCAGCGAGGACGGACAACTGGAACTGCGATGGGGACAGCAAAAGGAGAGCTACCCTGAGCGGCGACAATGAGGAAAATAGTTTGACGACAAAGAAACTACAGTAAAACAACAAATAGAGGCTGTTCCAGGCTTTGTATTAAGGAAGGGGTGGGCAGGAGCGATGTGAGGAGGATGCGAAAGAGAATAGGGAAGATAATTACCACCTCAGGAGCGAGATATAGCCGAAAAATGATCTAAATCTTTAGATACAACCCTGGAAGGGAAAAAAATGTGCCAGCGATTGTCCTGATACAAAACACACAAAAAAAATAGCCCTAGACTCCTATGAAAGCAAATATATAGTAATAGGATAATTATGAGTTGCCCAAGAGGACCGACCGACTCCTCACAACAATCGGGTTGCTGCTTCGTTCACGGGACTTCTGTGTTGGGAACAGGGGGAGCGTCCACGTTAGTCTCTCGGTGTTGGGGGATTTTCGACCTCATTTGTTAAAGTTTCTGTCTCATAATAGTTATGTCAACCCGTTGAAAGTTGTTGCTAGCTCCCAACATGTCACTCCTGTAGGCGTTGTCATCCCAAAGCGCATTTTAATAGAATAAATATTCATTCACTTTTGACATAACTTGAGTTGGAGCTGCATAACAATATAGATTCCCACAAGCTGAATCTTAAGCAATCAAATTTACAATCAGCTTTTTTCAATCGTAATTGTCCAAGTGTATTTATTAAACAACTATGTAGGAGGAATCAACTATGACAAGCTAGACCACACTGAAGTGTAACCACTCGGAAGAGACATCTTCTTCTTTAAAGGGACCCTAAATCCCACTGTAGGATGTTCTTCTCTGCAAAGCTCTTAAAACATTTTCCAACACCGCGGGTCATCCTTCTCATTTGACTATATGTTAGTGAGTATACCGTTGAACTGAATTGAATATCCAAATGAATCCACATGATCTTCCAAAAGTAGTTCAAAAGCTCGTATCTCTGATATATATTGTACCTCCTTCAGTATGTGCAACTTAGGAGGTAGGCTATGTATCTGCGAATTCTGAAAACCGTTTATATGTGTTTGTTCTGTGTCTAGTATTTGCTCCTCAAACTTACGATCGACATCCAATGCCATTCCTACTGATGCTCCTTGCAACATTTGCAAAAAGATAGTTTGGGGAACCAAAATCTTATCCTCTGCACTAATACTCATTACCTCAAACTCCCTTCTAGAACAACTACTTTTAATTCAGTTGAAGTCACTCTCATGGGGACAACTAAATTTTCCTCGTCGGCTGGAAGTTGAGAATCCTCTCTGAAATCTTCATCTTCTCCTGGATCATTGTTTATTTTTTAACCGCTCTCTAATCAATTAAACTTATCATTTTCTTGGTTGTGCAATTTGATTCATTATGCCCAATCCGTGCCATTCTTCCTGATTGGGACGAATTTCAGAATGCAGATTGATTCCACTCGTTCTCCACTCTAATCTAGTATATCTTCAGGCGGGGTCAGCTTGAATGCTCTGATAGATGCACTCTTGCTGTTTGATCTTGGGGTTGAACTCTACCTTTAAGATGTGGTGATGATCCGGTGATGTCTCTCCATTTTTTGAACTTTGAAGTTAGAATCCGAACATCCTGTTTATAAAGAATTGGGAGGTTCTGTTGCTGCATTTCTTATTTCATTTTTGACTAGATAATAATTTTACTCTTTCCTTCTCGTTGTCGAAGGCTTTTTAAGTTTTCTCACCAGTGAGATGCATTTTTCCTTAACTTGCTGGTGGTTTGTTTCATCTTTCCGTACGGTGGGACATCCCGACACTCGATGACACATTCCAACGTTTAGAGCCACTCTATGAACTCCTCTAGGTCCATGTGACCATCAAAATAACAAATTCAAATTTACTTCAAAATCTTGGATCCTTCAATATTTCATGCCAAATCTTTGGGCTAGTGGTTATTCATCTCTGAAATCTAATTAAATTTGTGTGACCCCTCTTGATTCTCCATTCGAAGGCGGCAAGCCTCCATTTCGTTTTGGGGATTTTCCATTGCATATCCTTTCTAGAAACCTTCGAAACACCTCTGTGTATTTCTCATAAGTCACATCGTGTCCTTTTTCGTACATATCATGGTTTCAACAATTATCCCTTGAGCGGTGTGATTAGGGTTTGAGTGTGGGTAGATGGAAAGAGGTGTGAAAGGGTTATGTGGGTTGAGAGAAAATGTTTGGGTAGAAATAGGGTTAAGTGTTGACAAATGCTAGATACTTTAAGATATGACTAGGGTTATGCTAGCTTTGATACCAAATGATATTGGAGTTAACCTAAATAACAATAGAAAAATCAAATATTATAGTTG